AAATTCCACGCCCACTCCCTGAGCAGGATTTACTGTCCCTGCAATGCAGAGCGAGGTGGGTTAGTGCAGAGCTCCGGACTGGCATTCATCCACATCGCCCTCCCGGCGGCACGAGGCAGACTGATTCACTCGGTGTTGCGCTGAGTTATGAACCCGTATCCTCGAAGCTACTGAATCTCAGCTGAAGAGGTGTTTACCACTGGATATTTTACACAGCCTGTGAAATATTACCCCGAGGGGTTCTTTCCTTTGTTCTACAGACACCCAGTCACACAGCTTCTACCCGACGGCTGGCTTTAATTCTGAATCCCCAGAAAACATTCTTGCAAAGAAAAACAATTTCCTGGTACTACCACGAATCAAACAAACACCAAGCTCCAGAAACATGATTTCGCCCTCGGGTCAGCAATTCTGAAAACAGATCTGTGCGGACATAATCCTGCAGCATCCATGGATCCTCTAACCCCAGCCTCTCACTGTGGGAACACAAACAACTGGAAAACGAGCTCTCCCGAGGCAAAGAAAACCCTGGCCACAGTGCCTGGACTCCTGGACGCAGGGTCTTCTCCTCCGAGCAGGCTTTCCTCACCACCAGCTCCTCACCTCACAAACACGTACGGCAGAACCAGCACTACAGGGAAAACAAGCTCTCCACAAAGAAATGATGTTGTTTGGGGAAAACATTTAAGTACCTAAACATATGGCCTGGGATTTGCTTTTAATGCACAATTTGTAATGTGTGCTTGAGCTTCACACACTTATCTACTATTACACAGCTTTCCGACTACTCGTGGCATCTCCTTCCCCAGACCCCACTGAGATCAGGGACCTGCAGTGTCTGGGCCTGAAGCTCTGCCTCCAAGTGCCCCTCTCCTTTTTTTTTTCATTTTACAATACATCCATACTGTTTTGTTTTTTATTTATGAAGAAAACCAAGGTAGATAAAATGTTGATGTCAGAGGCGCTCATCACACGCAGGATGCCAGAAGGTCTCTTTTAGAGAAGCAGTCTGGGATTTTTACTGATAATAGTTAACATTTACAGGCTTGGGACAGTTGTTTACATCCCTCATATTTTGCCACAGGCTATTCTCTTCATCTGAGAACTGTACTTGCAGGTGCAGTTAGAGCCTGCCAAAGAGGGATGAAAAAGAGTGATCTCTGCATCCTCCTGGCTGGGAGAGGGGGTCAGGCAGACCCCAGTCCAAGAGTCTGCTGGGGACCAGGGCCACGAGGAATGCCTCTGCTCTCCCAGGTGAGCTGGGGAAGATGCAAAGGGTCTCCCCAGGTTCACGCCCTCACACCTACTCCTGGGAAGAGGACTAGGGGAGGGCAGAAGGCATGCTCTCATCCCTGGGACTTGCCCACAGCTCCATTTCCCTGGCAGATGCCATCATATATGTGACTTGAGTCTATGGGCTCTCCCAGCTGCTGCTTAAGCTGTTGCATCCTCACAGCTTTTAACGGGCATGGCACTTCCATACAACATCAGAGAATGGTTTGAGTTGAAAGGAACCTTAAAGGCCACCTAGTTCCAACCCTTTGCCATGGGCAGGGGCACCAGAGGCATTATGGCCCTTAACAGCAGAAAACTAGACACCATGATAGAGGGAAAATACTCTCCGGGTTTGCAGAGTTACTGGTTTACAATATACATGGCAATGGCCCCAGATAAAATGTCCTTACTTTCAAAAAATGCTTAAAACTGTAAGATGAGGTTTTGTCATATCCGTCTCCATGCTCTTCTCGCTTCTTGCAGAAGACCAAGGCTTTCTCATAGAGGAACAGATGCCTCTGCATTGGCTTGAACCGGGCAAGATCCTTCATTTTTGTTGGACCTTTTCGGTGTCCTGTCCAAACACTGAAAGATCCTTGCATCAATACCTTGCCCAGTTCGCTCAGGTCACCCTGGTGAGAGTATGAAAAACAACAAAAAAGAAAGAACAAGACACCAATTACAATGCAAGAGGACTGTCCAAACAATGGCAGGTGATGGGGCCAGCTCTGCTCCAAAGCACGTCACTCTAAGAATAGGTCTTCCTGGAAGGATCAGATGATCTTTCGGGAATGATGGCATGGTGCCAGGTGTGAAGGGATACAAGTCAGTAACTGGAAGAACTGAGAAGACGGGGAAACTCTCCAGCTCCTGCGCAAGTCCAGGTCGAGGGCTCTAGTTACTTCAGAGGGAGAGGGCAAATGAGATTTGAACCTGAACTGAGGTTTCGGAGGACGGATTTCTCAAGAAGCCAACCCCTCACCCATCCCTGGGTGAGGCAACCACTTCAGTGGCAACCACTTCAGGGAAGGCAACCACCTCAGTGGGCAAGGATCAGAATCAGCCTCAGAGAGTATTTAGTTCAATGCTGAATGAGAAATGCTATGAAGACAGCCCAGGTGAATTACCAGGTTAGCCACGACAGAACTACCGAACGTGTCGGAAAAATACTCTCGAGTACCACAAGGTGGCAAGTGTGGGCACTGTGTGACTGAATGCATCCTTCGGATGCGGAAAGTTTCCAAAATCCTGAAATGAGCTGGAAGACTGTCACCTGTCAGTACTTCCCGACCTCATTCACTTTGTAGCTGTTCTAGTACGGTTTTTTGCCCATGCACCCTGCGACACCAGCCCTGCCGCATCCAGCCTTGTGCGAGGTCTCTCCTTACCCAAATCTACTCACATCATATCCTGTTATTGAAATCTGATGCATAGAGTCATTGACTGACTTTAGCAAATCCAACATTGCAACCAGAGCTTCTTGAAGTTCCCGAACTCCATCACAGCTCGTGCTGTACTTTAGCAGCTCCTGAAAATAGAAATGGAAGAGCATGTGTTTGTGCTTGAACAAAGCTGACTTTTCCGTCTCACCCAAAGTTTCCAATGCTCAGGAGCAACCTATGCTGCCTGAGTTTCTGTTTCATATGCCACTGGAAAAAAGATTCACTCTAAACCACGGTCAGTGTGAGGTGTGCAACAGATCACTGAAGCACAGTCCATTATTTGTGGGTGTCACATTACAGAGCGGCACCTCACTCATCTGAGCTCTCTGTGTTGTGTTTTCCTGGGAAATAAGGCTTGGGTTTTCCATTAAGTGCCAGTATGCCATATATGCCTTCAAATGAGGTTACAGCAGATGACCATCTTCAGATTGGATTTATAAAATCCAGAGTCAATAAGCAGAAGACAGATAAGGGAATGATACCATTGATATAGAATTACTTTCATCTCAGATCTCCTGTACGCACTTACAGCTTCAGGTGTACTCATCTCTCACCTTGAAAGTGGGGTTCGGAAGCCGCTATCCCAGAGCTATTCCCACTTTACAGAGTGGAAATAACAGCACTGTTCTGCCTCAGATGGAGGACACAAGAATAAATGAATTAAAGATTACAAGCACTATAATCATCTGAGGAGAAAAGATGCAGCAACATAATACACTTCATCCATCACATCCTTATGATCATCTCTGGTTTGGTTTTCTTAGAAGTGCTTCCATCATTTTGCATCTCTGAACAGATTCAAACAGTCCTTCTCCCCTTAAAAACCAGCTTATTAAAAGCACTTATTCCTTTTTCAGGTATGCAAATTTTCGTCTTCCCTGAAAGCCACTACAGAGGACCACAATAAGCACTACGTAACTTAAAGGATTTACAGGTAACCTTTAATTGAAAAAAATAAAACAAACTGGAGAACAAATCTATCTCCTGGTGTCCTTTCAAAGCAGAGTATGAAATACCTTCAGAAGTAACTGGTATTTGGTCAGGCGTTGCACTGGTTTGAGCAAATAGGAATCCAGCCCGAGTTTGTGCTCTAATTTCCTTTGGCATTCCTGGAACAAAGTGCTCAGATTAAGTATATTCCACACCAACTACAAGTAGTTATTCCAACAGCATGGCTAGCATGGTTTGGTGGCTTTGAAGTTTTCAGGTAAAAACGTCATGCAGTGCCTATAACTAAAGAAACATTATAAAAACATGTAAAACAATATAATGAATGGATTTTCCTTAAACTCCTTGTGTACAAGGAATCGCTATTTTTATGAAGCTTCCAGGCAACAGTAAGCAGGATGTGCTGCAAAACCATGGGGTGCTGAGGAGGGTGTTCAGCTGACAAGTGCGTGTCCCAGGATGATGCCTGACTTGGTAGGAACAACCAGCTCACCTGGAAGAAGGTGCTCTCGGAGCACTGCCTCCACAGGGACTCCGACCGGGGCTTGTTCTGGCAGTATTTCTCATACATCTGGAAATCCTCCCGCTGTAAGGGAAGCCCAAAGGCAAGTCACACGCCTGCACGCAAACCTGCTGGGCAGCCAAATAAGGTGAACGCCCAAACCGTCAATCTGCTTTTAACTCCACCGCCAGCTTTAATTCCTATAAGATGCAGGGTTTGGGTTAAAAAATAGACTGCTGGGAATCACAGCCGACTGCAGTGCAGTCACGCCTGCTGCCCTCCCCATCTGCTGCTGGCCACGCACCCACGCTCCCCTGCCTTGCTGCTGCTATTGAGTATCAGGAGCATCTTACTCAACTGACATAACCGAGATGCTGCAGCATGCGACAAATCAGGAGAAACATTGGCCTCCAAGTCTGCTTTATATGTGAAAATGAGTCACCCACCCTGTCTAGGAAACAAAATCCCACTCTCTCGGGTGCTCCCAGGCAGCTTTCCAAACTGTGCAGGAAAATTCTGCAAGAGACAGGAGAAGAGACAAAACGCATGGGTGAGCAAGGTACAGCCTGGGTGTTTAACAGATACAGGAAAATGGTCTGACAGAAAGGGGAACAGTGACAGCATTGTACTTGTTGTGGAAGTCGTATATCTCGGGCATGTTTCCGAAGAGGACGTCCTTCCTGTTCCTCAGCACAGGAGGCATGAGGATGAGCATGGCCGGGTTATCCATCTCAGCTCTGTAGCCCTGCGGGAGGTAAAAAGGCCTCATCACTCAGCTGGTAAAGCCTCGGCACCTCCTCGGAGGCAGATGAAAAGAGGACCTGAGCAGCCTTGCAATACAATCTGCTTTTGTCTCTAAACCCCTGTCTTTCAGTCTCTGGGCATGTGGGGTTGTGGTTCAGGGGGACGGGGCTCGCCAGCACTGTCAGGATTCCTGCTCCCTGTTCTCCAAAACCAAATCACAGCCACCTTCCCCTCGCTACGGGCTGATGGCGGGAGAGGTCCTGGAGGAACGCTCGTCTGGGCTGATCACATCTGCTGCTGTGAGGGACACAGGAGTGACAACGTGTTTGTACAGGGTACGCAGCTGCACACAACCTCACAAGAACCGGTGCACGAGTTGGCTTGTTGTGAAGTAGAGATGACTTGAGATCAAATGCCAAAAAATGAATGGGGTTTTTGCTCTCGTACAAGACCCGCTGAGCACCAGAGTCTCACGCTCCTTGATGCCTCAAGATTTCTGACCTCTGTGGCCTCTCCTGCCTCTTGAAATCACAGCCTCCTGAGCAGAGAGGAGCTGGAAGGTACACCACTGCGCCACAAATGCAAAGGAGACAATGCAAAGCTCCCCTCAGTAACATCGCACCACTGCACCAAGGCCAAAATCATTCATCAGACGTGGTAAGCATCCTAACTGCAGGGTAGGGAGAAGGCACAGCCAGAGCTCAGGATGGTTGCCACAAAGATGACATCAAGAAGGCCACTAGCCACAGCTCCAGCTGGCCACGCTGGTCACCAAGCCCTGCACAGAGCTGAGCAGCAAAAATGTTTGCAAAAATCTTTTCAGTACGTACAGCATGTCTTCTCTGGCTTTCCAAATTAATCTCTCACACGCACTATGGTTGGAATCAATATTCAACAGGCATTTTGTAGTTGATTAAGGATGCAGCAGAAGATAAGCATCTGGAAAATTAGTCATTTATATTTAACCACAGCAAGCAGGCTTCCCTCTTCAAAGGAAATACTGTGTTCAGAAAACTTAAGTCTGTCTGCGCATTTTTCCCTATCTACACTTGAAATGCACAGTAAAAAATCCACATAGCTGCCACCTGCTTTATTACATAGAGTGGTTTAACAAAAAAACTAATCAGTGCAAGGCAATTACGTGTAACTGCCTGCAGTCCAGCAGATTTATAGCCTGCTTGCTCCTGGGTGAGAGAAACGTAAAGGAGAAAGAGGTATTTAACAGCCAACTTGTTTTGGCCACCAGCAAGAGTTATTTTGGAATAAAGCAGAAGTGTCTACAATGGCAGTATGAGGAATTATAATCTAGTTTCTAAAGAAACCAGAATGCGCTTTATACATTCATGAATTTCATGGTATCAAGACAGAATCCTCCCAAGGATAAAACACAGGCTTCTTTCTTTTGTCTCCAAAAGGTAAGGAGAAATTAGGGAACAGTTAAAAACAACAGCTTTCTGTACATCTTTTCAGGCACTGATAAAACTAATTACCAGTGCTCTTGTGTACAAACAGAAGGCTTCTCCCTCATTCTAGATGAAAAGCTCATCCTGACACCAACTGTGCCTACAGATGCCTCCAACAAAGAAAAGCTAGGAAGAAGACCTGAAAATTTATGACTAGCTTGGAAAACCTGCCCCATCACATTTTCGCTTAGTTTGACAGAGGTAGGTGCTCTTTTGTACAAGTCTCTGGGGAACGGTAATGAGCAAACTGAAGAAGCCACTCACCGTCAAAACAGTGAAGAGTTCCTCTACGTACACCCTCTCGGTTTCTATAAGCTCATTTATGACGTGGCTAAAATAAAGCAAAAGGATAGAAGTATATTATTTTTATGTCTGTCAAAAAACCCACAGGTGATCAGTGCGGTTCACCCAGCCCAAAACATAGGGCGACCTCATCTACGACTGACAGAGAGGACGATAAAACAGGTAAAAGCACAAGAGACAACACCTGGGTCAGGCTGGAGGAACACATGGACGGGGCAAGGACCCGCCAGATATCAGCATCGTTTTGAGTGACGTAAAGGAAACCTTACCCTTTCAGTATATCTAAGCTGTCATCGCTGTCCGAAATAAAATACTGCAAGGAATTCCGTTTTTCCTGATAGTCGTGCATCACTTCGATCTGGAAGAGAAAGGGGAGGAGCTGCAGGGAGCAGAGGCAGGACCTGGAACCCCTTGGGGAAGTATGAAATGGGCTCCCTTTTCAGAGATCTTTTGTAACACGAAGCTTTAAAAGGGCATAGTGTGTAACTGGGAGGTAAATATTCCCAGAAATTACTTTGCTACACAAAATGGTAATGTAACTCATCAGTGCAGAGACCAGAGAACAGTTTCCACATGGGAAATATCTGCGGATGGGGAGTTTTCCTAGCAGACATCACTGTTACGCAAGGAACAAGTTCAGGGAGCAACACGCAGGAAATCAATATTGTGACTTGGAAAAATAATCCATGATAGATCTCAGGTGTTGGGCTAATCCAAGTATAGCATATAGATATGAAAGGCTTGGTGGTTTTCTTTAAGGAAAAAAAAAAAGGAATATCCTCGAACCTAAAATAAATTTTAGAAAGGTTTCAGGGTTTTTTGGCATCTAAAACTCATGAAGACTTTTTACCTTGCGAGAACTTGGAGTTTTTCTTGGTGTTTTCTTCCCAGGCAGAGAGAGATCAAATGAAAATTTCAAACTGGAATTAAAATCCACACCTTGGGCAGAAAACAAACATAGTTAGGTAATGTACATCTATAGTGAAGGAGATGTTTCAGATAGAAACTAGTAAGTCACAAAGTAAAATGAGATACATTTTAAAAACGAACAATTAGTTCGCTAATACTACAGGCAAACTGACGAAATAAAGGATATCTATCTTAAACAATATTAATACCATACAGCACAAGTCAAACGGATGGTCATAAAGGCTATAAACTAAAAAGTAATCAGAAAAAATAGAAAGTTCGTTTAGTGAATATGGTAATCAAAACCTAACAAGGCCTCTGAAGCAATAAAATCAAAGAAACTACCAAAAGGAACATCACTTGGATACTGGTTTAAAGTCCTTTTATGAACATAGTGCAAGATGCTCCGCTGGCGTAAACCTTTTCTCCACCTTGGAAGAACTTACTGATGCTGTCAATAAAAAACTGCAAATTGTAATACTTGTGGTTACAGAGGTAAACTGGAAGCTTAAAAATGAAATGTCAATCCTCCTGATGAGTTACACAGCATCTTTCAAATACTTCTTACTCCTGAATAGTCAATGTGGCAATTCTGCAACAACAGGATCTTTTCCCCAACATAGATGGCAATAATGGATCTCCCCAGCATCGCGCTGGCTCCACGTGCCAGGCTGCAGCCCCAGCAGCTGCCCCAAATCCAGAGATGGGTCAAAAATAAAGGTGAATATCACACATCAGGGTGTGTTTATTTACAAGCAGAAAAAGAAGAGGCTAGCAAATTAAAATAAAATAGTAAATAGAATAAAATAAAATAGAATAAAATAGAATAAAACAAAACGGACTAATGAACTCTTGTTTCCATTAGGGTGAAAAAGGTACCGTTGCACACACAAACACAACGGCGGCTGTGCCTAGACTGAAGGTTGGAACGGTGCTGACACCAAAGAGCTGCCTTTTGTGAAGCAGATGATGTAGGGAGAAAAACAGATGCAGAGAAACACAAACCTGGAGAGCAGGCAGCCCACCCTCAGACAGAGCTGCTGTTACATAGAGCTGTTACGGACAATCACACTAACGAGGTTTTAGACCTCCTCATGCCAATGCACCAGATGAGGAAAGAGAGAGACCTGGACGCTGGGCAGCAGATCAGAGGCACTGCCTGGGGTGTGACCCAGCATGGATGACAGATCCAAAAGAAGGCAGGATGTGCCAGTGGTCCTACTGGGAGACTCCCACTGGGAGCGCGGAGGTTCCCCTTCTCTGGAGGAAGGGAACGTGGCGGGAGATGGTCACCAGCCGCAGCTCGGTGTC